GCGCGCGTGTAGCTCCGAATCGCTTGATGCGCTCGACGCGGAAGTTGTCAAGCGGCAGGAAAAAGAGTCGAGCGAGGAGGGCGCGCGCGCGCCTTCCTGTGCTCGGTCATCCGCAAGTGGGTACCCGAGCGGGCCCGCGCGGGCCCTCGCGACTGAAGGGGAGGCCGACGCGTTGATCAGTGCTTGTAAAAAGATTCGGGACCCTGCGGAGGCTCGCTCCCGCGCGCGCGTCGTCGGCCCTGCCTCGCCTTCGCGCGGGCGCTCGCCCTGCAGGAAATCGCGGCCGTGCAGCAGGGGCCCGAAAAGAAAGCCATCCTGACCGCGTGCCAGTGGCAGCTGGCGCGGGGCCGGCGCCATCGGCCCCGTCGCGGGCCCCTGCGTCCGCCCGTGCGCGCGCCGCGCGCGGAAGGTTCGCGCTAGCCTCCGGTCGTTGCGGGGCAGCTCGTGCTGGCCGGTTAAAAATTGCAGCGCAGGCCGTGCGCGCGCCTTTTTGCTGGTTCTCGCGCGGTGCAGTTGTGGGTGCGCGCGGGCGACCCGGAATCAATCTTGGAAAACGATCGTGAAGGTCGAGTCGCACGCCCTGCAGGTGGCGCGTGGCACCTGGGGCCTGGGCGAAGGCCCCTCTGGCGGCGTCGCGCTCGTCCCCCAATTCGGCGTCGACCAGGGCATCAGGGGCGAAGGCTCCCGCGAGGTGCGCTGGCAGCGCGCCCATCTCCCGCCGCGCGCGATCCGCGTCCGCCCCTCGGCAGGCGCGCGCGGTGGACAACTGTTCGATTGCGTGCATCAGCAGTGCCGCGCGGCCGCGTGAACGCACGCGGCGCGAGATGATCGACCCCTTTCCTGTTTGCATGCTGTGAGCTCTGCACCGAAGAGGCGCGCGCCGCGCCGCGCGCGCCCTCTCGGGGCGGGCGCGCCGCGCGCCTCCGGCGCCCGCGGGGCCGGGCCATCGTTTTCGAGCAGTCGCGAGCGTGCGCGATCGGGGGCGCATCGGCGCTCTCTTATGCGCGATTCTCCGCCGTGAACTCTACGCGTCGATACTTCGTTACGTGGGCGACATGTGTTGTCCCGGAGAGACGCGCCGAGGCGCGAGTCCGGCCGCCGGCGGGCGCTCTCGGTTGCCGCCGACCAGCTGTCGCGCGGGAGATAAAACATTTGTTTGATTGCATCTCTCGCGTAGCGCGGTGTTTATTTGGCTATTCCATGCTCGCCGATGAGGAGAGGTCGTGCGCAGCCCCGATCGGCATCTTTGGACTTCGCGTGGATCTCTTGGTGGAGGGCATTGCGCGCGCGCCGCTTCCGGACGAGAATGTCAAGGGGGCCGCTCGGATCCAGGCGGCGCTGGATTCCGGGAATCTGCGAGCGGGCGCAGAGGCCTCGCCTTCGACGCCGTGGCGCGCGCGGCGCTACCAGGGTGCGCCCGCAAATTGGCAGGTGCTCTGTCCTGGGCCGTGGGCGACGCGTTCAATCGCGCGGGGCGGGCCGTGCGCGGGCGCGGGCCCAGCGGCGCGCGCCGCTTGCATTCCGCCGCCTCTGGCTCGGCTTCTCAGGCCGATCTTCGCGCGGGCGCGTCGGAAGTGCCTGGCCATGCGTCAGGAGCTGCGCCTCTCGTTGCGCTGGTGCTTAATCGTATTGGGCGACGAGGTTTCGCAGTCGCGCAAGTGGCGCAGCGACGCGGTGGGCTCCGTGGTGCACCTCTTTTGCTTCGCGGCTGGCCGCCCGCCCATGGTGGCGGCCATGTTGTTCATCCACGGAAAATGCCATTGGGCGAGAATGCCGCCGGCCGCCTGGAACGGCAGTGCGCGCTCGGGCCCGTTGCCCGCGTTTCGCGACCGCGCGCTCGTCAGGACTCTGTGCGCGTTCCAGCCAAGGCAGATCCGCAGGCGGCCGCCAGCCGCGGCGCCGCGCGCGCGTTCGATCGCGGGGGCCTGGCGCGCTGCCTCTGGGCCAAGATTGCGCGCCTTCGCTGCCTCGCCCGCGTGGAACGGGCGCCGACAGGCGAAAATGTTGCGGGCGACCCGTCGCGCGGGGTATTCGGGCTGCTGCGGCAACTGGGCGCCGCGCGGGTCGAGCCGCGCCTGGGCGCGGTTCTTCGTGTGCCCGCCTCTTGGGGGTCGATGCCTTTTCTGGCTGCGTCTGCGAGCTAGTTCGGCGCGACAGATCTCGCGCGGGCGATGTGCGCGTGATTCTACCAGTCGGGCATGGGCAGCGCGCTCGGCGCGCCGCCGCGCGCGTCAGTGCGGTCACCTCTGCGGTTGGGGAGCGCACGGCCCCTCTCACAAAATATTGACGTACCATAATTCGGGAACTCGACCAGACCCGATGATATTCCAACTCGTCCATCAAGCCGTGGTGGCAAACTTCCCTCTCTGTCTCTCTCTCTTTTTTTTTTTTTTTTTTTTTTTTTTTTTTTTTTTTTTTTTTGTTTTTTTTTTTTTTTTCTTTTTTTCTTCTTTTTTTTTTTTCTCTCTCTCTCTCTCCCTCTCTCTCTCTCTATCTCTCTCTTTTCTTTTGTCTCTCCCCCTTGAAAGAGAGAGAGAGAGAGAGAGAGAGACAGAGAGAGAAAGAGAGATACCACTAAACAAAACAACAAGAAATAGGGATAGAGAGAGAGAGAGAGAGAGAGAGAGAGAGAGAGAAAGAGAGAGAGAGAGAGATAGAGAGAAAGAGAGAGAAAGAGAGTTAGAGAAACAACGCATCTAGAAGAGAAGCAAAGAGAAAGAGAGAGAGAGTGATATAGAGGCAGAGAACGAGGGAACGGGGGGTTTGGGACGTGTATGCATAGTTACGGCGTTTGAAGGGATGGGGGTCTTCGCTTTCCATCCAGAAGGGAAGGATCTCTAGCTTCCTTTTGGCCTTTGCAGAGGAAAGATTTTCTAGCGAAGAAGAGCTTCCTTCTCGTCCCCTTCTCCCGATGCCCCCCCCCGGTCCCTCGCCGTCCTCCGTCTTGGGAGCTGCGAGTTGCGCAATTGACACCAATTTTGTGGCCCCCTGGGAGGTCCAGTGGTGTGGTATCTCTCGCAGAACCAGATCAGATCTGGCCTGCTCCAGGCGCTGCAAGCAGCGCAGCGGTCGCCACATTCGCGAGCCTTGCCTATGCTATCTTTCTTTTTCTTGCTCACACCCTGCCTTCTTTTCCTATCCTTCGTCGTCCTTCCGTCATCCCCCGTCCACTTCTTATCCTTCGGTGCTACCCCATACGCTTCGCTGTGAGCGTGCCGCATGAGGGCTTCCATGTAGCCTCCGCGAACCGCGAACGACCACGTGGCCTTGCAGATGCTCGTTCGTTTCGGACGGTTCCCGTTTGCTTCAGTTGGGATGGGTACGTCGCCGATCTGATTTGTCGCAGCGCTTGCGAACGCACAGCGCTGTCGCGGCGGCAGACCGGCACGCGGAAATTGCAACTGGAGCACAGGAGGCGCGGGGGAGGGGGATGAGGCGGCCGCGGGGGCAGGCCCAGGGGGAGGGCGCGCTCGGAGCACAGGACGCCGCGGGCAGGGCCGGCGGTGGCAGGCTCCCGAGGAAGTCCTGCGAAGGGGGGCCATCCTTCGGGCGGAGCCAGGGTGAGGATAGATCCGTTCCAGAGCGCTCCAGAACGCCCTCCGAGCCTTCCGGAACGCTCTGAGACGGCCGCGACGCCCGACACATCCTCCAGAGCCGCCGGGTCTCAGAGATTTCCGATGTATCCCCAACCGAGTTCGTCCTCGTCCTGGCTTCGTCTTGATCCTGGGCTGACCGGAGTGGCGGCTGCGCAGTGTTGTCTTGCCAGGGGTGCAGGAGCGTGCGGTCGACCGAGGGGCGCCCGAGAGGGGGGCCAGGTAGCGTCGGGGGTGCGCGTGGACGGTGTCCAAGCCGTGCCAGGTCGGAGGCGAGGGCAGGGGCGAATAGCCCAGGGGCGGACATTACCCGAGTAGGGGATCGACTACAGAATTGATGTACCCCCAAATTGGTTTCCTCGTCGAATCTACACTGCAATGCGTTTCATGTTCGTAGGTCTACGAACATTACACGCAGTTTATCGTACATTCGACGAACACATCAATTTTGGGGTGAATGAATTCTGTAGCCGATCCCCTATCCGAAGTACACGTATTCGCCAGGGAGGCTCGCCAAAGGCACGAACCATCGGTGCCCCTGGACACACGTGTTGCGCACCCCTGGGTGATTCGCCTCCACCGTCGCCCCCGACAGGTGTGCAAGAGCGAGGGCACGAAATCCGAGCGTGGCTCGAGGACGTCCGTGGGGAATGGGCCGGGACCCCCGTGCTCGCAGACCAGGCGTGTGCCGACCGTGTGCTGGGGCCACAGACCCGGCACGCCCCGATTGGCTTCACACTTTCATCAGGCTCAAGGGCATGCATTTGTACGCTCTTCCTCCCCTTACCCTTGGAGTTGGGTCCTCGCTTTCTTTGCGCTGAGCCGCGCGTCTCCTTCACCTTCCTCCCAGCCCTCCGACGCGGGGACTTGTCCAGAACCGCCGCCCGGGGGACCGATCTTTGGGCACCTCGGGCGGGCGGCGGGTATGGGTATGCTCGGGCCCTGGGGGTGCCATACGATGATGACGACGACGACGATGGCGATGGCGCGCACAGCATTCAACAAGCATCGTCATCGTCATGGTCCTCGTCATCGTCACCGTCACCGTCATCGCCATCGCCATCGTCATCCGTATCCGCCGCCTGCCGACGTGCGTGGAGGTTCGATCTCCCCGGCGGTGGTCATGGAGAGCTCCACGCCCCGCATGCTTGCTGCATGTTGGCTGTGGATCCTCTGCTGCTGCTGCCACTGCCAGCCGTTCGCGTGCACCGTGGCCCATCGGCAGCTCCGGCTGCGGTCCCCGCCGGGGGGGGGGGGAGCCCGCACAGCGCCCCTGCCTCGGTGCGGCCCCAGAGAGGGAGCTCGCATGCCGTCCCCGCCTGCCTCTCTCGGGGCCTGGCTCCCGGAACGCAGTCTCCCCCGATCTCCATCGGCCCTCGCTTGCTGAGCGACGGAGAGCCTGGAAAG